CTATTTTTAACAATGATTTTTTTACTTTAACGAACAACGTGATATTTCGTTTTCTTTTCTTCTGTTATCTTCAACTTCATTCCCCTAAGTCTTTATCTTTCATAATAATGAACTGTTGCTGTAAGTGGTGTAGTAGTGTAATGGTTAGATGTTTAGGGATACGAAATCGTTGGTGGCCGTTACATTTAAAAGGAAAGGTTTCATCTCTACTCTTCTCAGCTATAGTTTTCTCAGGGCAGACCAGGATCTCTCGCCATTATTGACAATCAGTGTAGGAAAAGAACAACCCCGAATTTATAACCGAATGGCTATGGCGGGACACATGAACAGCAACTAAGGTCTGCTCGACATAGCTGCAGTATTATAAAAAAAAATAACTTCCTACCAAATCTAAATTCATGTGCCAAACACAAAAACCTCGTTAGTAGGAATAGAAAGTTGAATATGGTGCAATATTACAGAAAAAAAATGCAGAAATTTACATAAAAGGGTCGAGTTACCTTCTAATTTTCGAAATCGTTCCTAGGGGACGCTCTTCTGCACTATAGATACTCCGCGATAATTATTAACAGCCCCTTCTTACTTTTCCGTCTTCATTGGGAGATTCGCATCCAGCTATGCTGGTCAAACTCTGCCTCCGGGCAGAGAAGATCCCAGACGAGGCTATGTCGAAGGGCAGAGTCTCGTCTCGGGAAACAGCTACCCGATCCCGTCTATACGGGATCTACGGGGAATTTTTGGCCGAGACTGTGAACTCGGATACCCCACATTAAATTCGGCCTTATGCCACATCTGACCGCGTGAGGTGGTTGGTAGATATCCTTCTTACTTTTCCGCTTTTTTTTTTTTTTTTTTTTACGACAACATGTAAATTTCTCGCGGAAGAACGCGTTCCCTTTTGGGGAAATCCATGAATAATACATACACGTACATACGCACATCACTCACTTCACATACCTTGGACCAAAGTTTCCACATTCATTTGTTATACATATTATTGTCTTTGTCATTTGTAACCCTTTTGTTGTTAATACATTATCATTTGTTTGTACATATATATCAGTCTTTATTGTTGTTTCTTTACATTTTTTTTTTTTTTTTTTGGACTTATACACCGAGTCCGCCATGTTGGTTGTGGGCATTTCAGGAGACGCACGCGTTTATCTCTCAACGCGTACACGGACCCGCAACAAAACTATTTCAAAAAATTTCCTTTTGTACGACTTATAAATAATTAAAGCAGGAATAACATTTACGGATGAAAAGAAAACAAAGGCGGGGATTAACCATCGAAAATACAAAAAAGAATTACAATTTCGAAAAAGCCACAATAATTCAATTTCGAAAAAGCCACAATAATTCAATTTCGAAAAAGACGAAAGCGAAAGCAATTCAAGAAGGCAGTAAAAACAAAGATGCAACTACTTTTTAGAAAAACGAAAAAACATTTTTGTCTCCCGAACGTCTTTGGGACATATAACAATTTTGGAAATGTCTTTTTTATATTCACACTGTTCATGCTTCACTGCTTTTTGGAAAATGTATTGGAATTCTTTTTTCACTGTCCAACCGCAGGAGAATTTTCACTTGAACTTCAAAATTCTTTTGGGATCTCTACAGCTGGCTTGTAAATCGGTGCCTTCTTGATGATCTCTTCTTGGTGTTAAATGCTTTCCGCCAGTTCTTTTCTTGGTGTCAAAAACTTTCTGCCCTTATCTATTGACATGAGTTCTATTTATGCAAAAAATGAGGCTCACAGAAGTTCCCTATTCGGATTCTTACTAGGGTTTACACGTCTCTCATTGGCCAAAATATACGAAAAATAATTTTCCATTAACTTGAAATGGATCCTTATGAATTTTAACGGTTTTTAACCCGCTGAGACGAAAAAGATTCGCCGGCGGTGTCCAGAGGGGAGCGTAGGGGGTGCACACCATCTCTAAAATTATTGAGAAAATGTTTTTTGTTGCAAAGTAGATAAGATAAACTAATACAATTTTGCATATCAAATAAATAAATGAAAGCGCAAATTTCGCCAAAGGCTTCGTAGAAGTAACATCTGACCAAAAGGAAATAATTTTACATTTCCGCAAATCCATTCTATTCCACAACGAAATCAAATGAAATAGAAGTCGACATAAATTTTTAAAAAATCGTTAACTATCTGGACGTTGAATTGAACCTTCTCACTGGCAATGTCTCCCTGTACAAACTTAATGCAAAATTAAGGCATGTAAATATTAAATCAAGTCCCCACCCCAAATATAATTAAGCATATCCCAAATGGAATAGAGTCAAGGTTATCCAAAAACTCTTCTTGTAAGACAATCTTTGAAGAAAAAAAAGAATATGAGACAAACTTAAAGGCAAAGGACCATAAAGCAAAGCTATAATTTAAACCTTAACTCATACGAAAGACATTTCGAAGAAAAGAAAAAATATCATTTGGTTTAACGCTCCTTTCAGCTTAGAGGTGAAATGTAATATAGGTAAATTATTTTTCAAGTTGCTTTCTAAACACTTGCATACTACATAAGATATTCAATAAAAATACAGTCAAAATAAGCTACAGTTGCACGAGTAATTTAGACACAATCTTCTTGATTTTAGTGTCCTCGAAAGACAAAATAACAGAAAGCTTTATTAAGTGAATATGAAACCGGTTAAAAAATCTAATTCAAAAAACCGGCTTCTAATTCTCTAGATTGAGCGGCTTGGTGAGAGTAGTCGTATCTCCAGGGGGCACAGTCCTATGGTTAGAGAGAATTCAGTTGAGTTCCACCACGGAATATATGAGCGAGTTTGATTTGCAATTTCTTCGTCACCGAGGCCCATTAGAACAGTTGGTATGACGTTTGCTGGTCAACCTAACTGTCAGGGTTTCAATTCTCGATCGCGGATGCGCACTGCTGATGAGTCCCAAATATAGGACGAAATATATATATATTTTGAACTGTTGCTTTGGATATCTCGAAGGGTCTGGCATACTGGTCTTCTTCACAAGTTGAAAGGTTATGGTGTTTCTGGTCAAATTCTTGAACTGGTTTAGTCTTATCACATGAAATTAAAGTTGCCCAGATCTTTTTGCATTAATTCAGGCGCTCTACAGAGTTCTATACTTGTACTTAAGTTGTTCGTAATTTTCATCAACGACCTTCCTGGTGGTATCAATTCTCAACTCGATATCTATGCTGATGGCACAACAGTTTCAGTCAGTTAGGTGCCATGTGTGATACACGCTTAGGCGAGCTTTCGATACATGACTGACGAAGCAGATTTTTTCCTGCAGTAGGTTGCCATTTCTTTCTGCGGTAGACCAGTTGCCGTCCAAGGCTACAGAACCAGGTCTGCTCTACTATTATCCTATAGCTGAGGGAGAAGAGGATTCATACCTTTCCCAAGGGTATTAGCACGTAAGTGAATGTAATGAATTCGACTGGAATTTGAACTCGGCTCATCCGATTCCTCAATCCGAGCTGTTATCTATTACTCCACCGTGCCTCTAGTTTACAGTTTAACTGTTTATTCCCGTCTTAATAGCAAGTCTGATCGGTACGATATGGTCAAATTGGCAGCATTTCTAAAAAAAAATTTACACACATTCTGTTGTTAACTGGGGCAAGGAATGGCTTGTTAATTTTAACGTCTCCAAATCAAAACTGTTCTTTATTAATCGTCTTCGAGAACTCTTTCTACCTTCCATCAACATGACTAATACCGTTTCCATCCTTTCTACCACGGAACTACACAAGGTCACCTCTTCTCCACCATTACAATATCTCTCTGTAGGTGTTATCTGATGTAACCGTTCCATTAGTTTCTCCACTCTATTTATCCTTCCTTCCTTCACATGAAACAGCCATTCTAGGCGTGGTGGAGGAGTTTCACCTCGGTCTGGGCTACTGCGGAGTACTTCTTTTCCACTTCATTCCCTAATGGAGCCTCTACTCTTCCCAAAACCAATGTAGCCTGGTCAAAGCGAATTTGGGCTTTATTCAGCCTAAGCCAGTCACTAACTAAAATTAATTCTCCGCGCAAATCACGTGCCACAAGCACCTTAAGTTCACCTGTGGTCCTCGCCAATTTGAATGGTAACCAGGTCATACCTCTATTCTCACCTGACTATTATCTGCCTGGCTAATGAATAAATCCACTGGCTGAAGTTTTCTATGTAACCCCAGCTGTCTAAACACCTTGGAATTTATTTAGGAGACCGACGCTCCAGTAGCCACTAATGCCTTTATTGTCTTGTACCCGATCAACACATTACAGATAAATAAAGTCCGGCCCCTCTTTAAATAGCTGAAATATTTGGACTCTGTCCCTATTCCTCAACCTTCTCTTATTTTTATTTCCCTGTTGGCTATCCCTATTTTTCAAACCCAACATGGGTGCTGGCAATAGGGGCTCATCGTTCACTACCCATAGGCCAGCTTCTCTTGGGTAGAGTGGGGACTGGTCTTCTTGTTCCCCTTATTTCTTCCCTCCCTCTCTCAGTACCTTTTCTTCTTGGACAATTCCTTCTTAAGTGTGCAGCCGTCTTACATAACCAGCACTTACGCCATTTACAGTTGACTGCAAAATGTCCAGCCACACCACAGGACCAGCGCTTCAGAGGTCTTGTTTTAATTGGGGCCACCATGCCCTTTACTTCTATACGGGGGCCCACTGTCGTTTCCCGATCGCTTATTCTTTTCGGGAGGGGTACTAGGATCTCAATTTTCTTAATCCCTAGTCTCCTATTCCCTGCATCTGTGCACCACTTTGCCTTGTGGCCAAAACTTCCGCACTTAGTGTAATTCGTACCTAGATACCTGGGGTCTCCTCCCCAATTGGTGGGACAGTATCTGGGTATGTAGCCTCCGTAATTGAAGGTCCAGCATACCAGCCCGTACCGCCCCAGAGTGGACTTATAAAATCCGTACCTTATATACCATTCCTTCCGGTTGGGGTCGGCCTCGGCCTCCCAATTCTCCTTTTTCACATCCTTACGGGGTTTCATGTTCATTAATCTATTTCTAGAGCTTTTCTCTGTACCCTTCCAACCCGTGAATCTTTGGGCTCCTTGGTCTCTATTGTTTCTTATCCTTTCCCAGATCCTCTCGCCATTTTTAGCTACCTCCAGGGCCTCCGTCAGCCTACAGGGATCACCCTTCAGGTCATCACCCCTCACGTCTTCACCACGGATGACGTCCATAAAAGCGTCCACTAACAGCGCCTGAATCAGCCCATTCTCTCTTATTTCCGGATTCGGGAATGCTAAACCCGCTAATCCCGTCATCCTATCTCCAAGGTCTTCTAGAGTTTCCCCTACTTCTTGTTTAATCCTAAACAATTTTCGAACCGCCTCTGTGGTTGTTCACTCGCTAGCATATCGTCTTCCCTTCAGTTCGTCCCATGTTATCTGGGGTTTTTCCTTGTATAAGTCCTCGATAAATTTTGAGACTGGCCCACTGCTGCCTCATATGTCAACAGCACCATCTCTCGGTCTGTCAACCCGTATACCAGCTGTTTCTTTTGTACATCTGCCAACCAATCATGAAACTCAGACGGGTTGCCTCGGTAGGAGGGTAAACTTCATTCCACCCAGCAGACTCCTAAAGGCCGCCGTTATTTCGGGGACCGTATCTTCGCCCTCCGTACTGTCTGACCCAGCGATACTCATTTTAACTATTCTGGTGGTGTTCTTCAATAGGTAAATTTGAAGGACGAGGGTGACACTAAATCCTTCCTAGCTGTTTTCGTGTACCACAATTGAGCGAGAAAAAAAAACAATAATCGAGGCAAAGCAAGAAATTGGGGTGTGCTTCTGCTGCTGTTTTGTTGTTCCTGTAACTATCGGCTCTTTGGCTCAATATAATCTTTCGTTTCCAATGTCTACTAGGTAATTCTTGGATATAATCTTTGGTTGGTCGCTACGTCAATTGTAACTCCTTTCCTTTTCTTTAATGTCCTTCGGGTATCTCTTGGGTCGAATCCTTGGTCACGGCAACCAAATGTAACGCTGATCCTCTCGCACGGCGTCAGTTGTAACGCGATCTCCGGTCAAGGCATCCATGTGACACCCCACTGCGCCGACGTTATCAACAAGACCGGCCGTTGGTCCTGTATGGTCCAGTATTGCAAGTTAGACCTAAATCTCCGGTTTCAAATGTCAATTAGATTCCAATCACCAGCCACGTTGTGATTTTTGATCCTGGCGAGTAGTTATCGAGACGTAGAATTCCGAAAGCTCTCCGTTGGTTTACCTGAAAGCTTGTTGGGTGAGAATCAGGTTAACAGCAAATAAATATGGCCATTTAGAGGGACAAAAGTATATATATATATATATATATATATATATATATATATATATATATATATATATATAAGATCGACAATACATGTAATAATACAATTCTCGTGGCAAAAGTTGAATGTCTCTTGTATATGAACGATGATCAACAAAACAAAGAAAATACTTCGTGTAATTTCGTTAAAGGAGAGAAGTGGCTTCGTTTTAACCCTTTTTGAATGCTGTAGCTTGTTCGACGTTTCCGTTCTCGGTGGTAGTAATAATAGTAACAGTGGTAGTCTTGGTTGTTGGAGGAAGTAATTCGCTTCTTCGTAATTATATCAACAGCACATGTTAGCGGGCGCTTTGTTCCAATCTCTGTCGTCACTTCCTTACTCCTCGAGTCTCCAACTCGACTCTCGACTGTCTCCAACCCAACTCTGCGACTGACCCTAAGCCAACTCTGCTCTCTCTTTATATACAGAACTGGTGACGTATTTGCTTTTCTAGAACGAACTTACTGACATACTTTTATTAGGAACGGGTTCGACCCATTTATCTATTAATAGCTTTGAGCAATTTAGTAAACTTTACATAGATTCATGCTGTCTTGTTATCGATAAAAATAACCTTTAGATCAAGACATTCTGAATTCTATTTTCTATTAATAATCTGATATCTTTTATGCGCTTAAAGAGAAAAAAAGATTGTATTTCGTTTTGTAAATAAAATCTGTAACATTAACATTTCAAAGTTTTTATAGCATTTTTTAACATATTGGTTCTTTTGAAAACGCCCTTTTTTCTGTTTTCCAGCATATTCTCCTTTATTATTATTTCGGGGTGATAGTGCCCCCCCCCCCACCTGCCACACAACTGTTTGAAAATTTAAATATAATGTATGTAAAAAAAAAATAAATTTGTTTTTTGTTATATGCTGACGTAGCCTTTTTTTTCTTCTGTTTTTGTCATCCAACTAAAATAATCCGAAAGTCTCCTCTCAACAAAGGCTCTTTCTCAAACTTAGTGGACATACGCCAAGCAAATAAAAGAGATTTTTCCACTTTAAACCATCAGCTTTTTTAAAAAAAAAAAAAAAAAAAAAAAGAAAAAGAAATTAGTAACCGTTCCGCTGACGTGATTGGTTACGTCACGATAAAGTATCCACTTTTCATCTTTTGCCACAAACAACGCCGGCCGCAATATTTTTCTTCATTTATGTGGAAGCCACACATCAAAATGACTAACATAATCATAACAAATTTGCAAAATATTTTCAGGATGGTGTGTGTGTGTGTGTGTGTGTGTGTGTGTGTGTGTGTGTGTGTGTGTGTGTGTGTGTGTGTGTCTCTCTCTCTCTCTCTCTCTCTCTCTCTCTCTGTTTTTTTTATATTAAGGTTGATTATTCACAAATGTCTTTATTTGTTTACTGTCGGCTTCTACTGACGACCTAATCCTAGAGAAATGTTCAGCACAACACTTCGCAAACCACTTTTAACATGTTCGGTTATTCAGCGTAACTTCTTCTGAACTTTTTTCTTTAGTATTCAAGTCGCATATTTACTTTTCCTGAAATAAAATAAAACATAACATGCTGGAAAAAAATTGATCATTTTCTTCCATCAATAAATAAATGAATACATCGACATTGACAAAGTAAAAATATATGCTGAGATGAAAGCTGTTACAGTAGAATCTATATCAATACCGTAGTATTGCCAAAGACTTAAGTTGTTAAAGAAAAAGAAAAAAATCATTAGACGCTTAAACTTAATTCACATTTAAAATCGGTCAAAGTTATTGGATCACCCTTTATATACTAACTATATCTTTTTGTTGGTGTTGATGAATTTTATGTCAAGGTTGGGCAAGTTTTTTTTTTTTTTGTTTTTTTTTTTTTGTTTTTTTATGGTGGCAGTTATAGACTTGGTAAGTAGGATTATGTGTCTAATCTTATTATGGTTATCGGGATTATTATTATTTGTGGAATTTTATATATTTTGTATTTTTCTTTTGTGGATTTTTTACGCTTTGCGGTTGGCATTGTGCAGGAAATAATTCGGGTATTGAAGGTGTTTTCGATGTATTTCTCTTCTTCGGTAGGGATTGGGGGCCACAGATTCTAAATGCAGGCGGGTGATCGAGTGATTAGAAGCTTCACTCTCTGACCCTGAGACATGGGTTCGAATGTCGCCATAGTCGATTTGTTCGATTGTAATGTTATTGTGAGGAAGGTGACCAGAGGATCGCACCTTTGGAAAATGTCTGAAAAACCATTGCACGGGCTGACTCAAATCTTGTGAGTGAAATTGGATAGAGACGGGACCGTTTCGGAAGCCGTTGATAGTTGTGCTAGCACGAAGCCGCATGTCATCGTACCCGAGGGTTTAACCTTTTTCAAGAAATTGATCAGGTCAGAAAACCAGGACCGCTCAACATAGTTGCAATATAAATCCCAGGTGTGCCCAGTGCAGGCATCAGTAATAGGCATTGGCTAGCTGCCCTGAGAGACTGGTTTGCTCAAAACCCTTTGACATATATATATATATATATATATATATATATATATATATATATATATATATATATATAGGGTTAGCTGATTGACGTTACCTTCAGAAACCCGACTCCAGTGTTTCGTAGACGGACCTGTCCGTCCACTCTTCAGAGGGCATCAGCAATGTGTGTGTGTGTGAGCGCGCGCATGCGTGTTGTAGCGTTGTTATGTTGTTACCTCTGACCTGATTTTTCTTTCGTTTTACTCTAGCTTCCTTACACTCACGCCGGTTTGAGAGTTATCGGTGACGTCTTCACTTAATTTATGACGGCTGAGTCATATGTCAAAATGCCGTAGGAATTCTAGCAGCACAGGTGCCGATCGTTCCATAATAGCCTTTTCATCCGTCCTTTTCATCGGCTAATCCGTCGAGTCATGGCTCTTTCTTCGGGATTTGGGTTCTCTATGTACGCAGACCGTGTGGTAAGCAAATAGACACGCAGCAAAATTTGGCCGAGACACGGAAAAATTAGCGCATCATAGAAAATTGTTTCGGCTATAATTTCAGCCCGGGGTAGCCATGCATATATTCTACAAGGTGTATAATTTACAAGGTGTATAATTTACAAGGTGTATAATTTACTCCGCTGTAAATTTACCTCGAGTTAGCCATGTGTACATTCTACAAGGTTTATAATTACAGGGTGTATAATTTACCTCGCTGTAGATTTATCTCTGGTTAGCCATGCATATGTTCTAGAAGGTGTAGAATTTACAGGGTGCATAATTTACTTCGCTGTAATTCTACCTCAGGTTAACCATGCATATGTTCTACAATGTATATAATTTACTAAGTTATAATTTACCTCGGGCTGGCCATGGACATCTTCTTCAATGTGTATAATTTTCAGGATGTAGAATTTACGCTTCTGTAATTCTATCTCGTGTTAGCCATGCATATGTCCTACAAGGTGTATAATTTACAGGGTATATAATTTACTCCGCTGTAAATTTACTCCGAGTTAGCCATGCATACGTTCTACAAGGTGTATAATTTGCAGAGTGTATAATTTACGCCGCTGTAATTTTATCTCGGGTTAATTATACATATGTTCTACAAAGTGTATAATTTTGAGTTTGCTGCACCCAATAGAGCATCTGAGTGATTTTGTTTATCTTTTCTAAACTATGCCTGCCACTCTATCGCTATTTCCATGGAAAAAGTTCTGACGAGCTACATTCGCGCGTTCTGACATTTACAATTAAGACCCGCCATCTCGTGTACACAGTGTCAAACCATCCACATTCCCTTCGTATCCCATTAATAAGAAGGACGTTCCATTCGGGAAACTTCTTCCCAAGAGCTGCTACTTTATGGAACAGACTCTCAAGAGGATGCCTCTCCGAACACTATAATCTTAACCACGTCAAGTTTAGGGTTAATTCTTACCTATCCTATATATGCACATAACCTGCACTTGCTTTCCCTTTTCCTTCCTACAACAACCTCATCTAATAACCCTCTACTTTGTGTGGCTATCGGGCCTTTAACATTTACTAAACAAAAATCACAATGGATTTCTCTAGTCAAGTAATATTTAAATGTATTTATATAATAAATTCTAATGAAGTTCTCTATATGCTTGATTAGAGTGAACAAAAGTTTTCACCCGGTTGTTTAATACAGCCTACCTGTGATAATACATGTTATATCAATATTTAATTCGTTTAGTTTTAATGTTTTCTCTTGGGCTGTACATTATGAGACGAATATATATATATATATATATATATATATATATAACACATAAATTATAAGATGATCGCCTCTTAACTAGATCCGGAGTTTGAGAGGTTGAGATCAAAGTATAGTAGTTAGTATCTGTCACTTCTTACCACCGTGTTAGTAAATGCCAACAGCTGGTATAT